AAAATCCAGTAGTCCCTCCAATCCAGTCTTGCCCTCAGGGAAGGGCACGTCAGACTTGGTGAACTTGATTAAGTAGGATTCTTCATTTATCAGACTTAGGTCGATCTATATATTTGTTAGGTATTTTGAGTCCTGAAACAGGAGGCATATTGCTGTTGAAATCGCTAACTATTGCAGAGAGACAGCATATAGCTATATATTTAGATAGTCTCTTGAAAAATTCGATAGGATGCCGACTTTGGACGTGTGTATACAGTGACGAAGCCAGTCCAAATGCACCATGTGGCAGCTCGCGTATAAGAAATTCTAGAGAATTGTAAGATCCAGAATGAGGTAAGATTCGAACCCTCATATATCATATTACGATTTATTGCAACATCTCTAATTTCTCGTTTAAGAATTTGGAAACTCTTACAGTGAGTTATCAAATGTGGGTCATGCACAATTGTATCACAATAATGTGAGTTTATACTCAAATTTTTCGATGGTACATTTATTTATTATTAACTAGTTGTTGCGTACAGGCTTAAAAGGCCTTTTACCACTTTTTTACAAGTGCAGATAATTTTGTCATTAGCAATAATTTCTCCTTTTACTCGCTTCATTAATAAATGAATATTCATAAATAATTATTGATGTGGAACATCTATTGGCGCGCTTGGAGGTTCAACTGACTTGATGAAGTGACCATGCGATGGCACGATCTCTGGTTTAACTCGGCTCGGTATGGCTCTCTGTCTCTTTTTCCGCGCGCTTACTGCCACCCTTCTCTCGTTTGTAAAGTGTACTACCCGTATACATATACAGCTATATGAGGAAGTTTGCCTTGCAAGGTCTAAGTAGATGGCGCCGGGGTAAACCAGCTCTGTCATGGCAACTCCCGCGGAAATTCAAAATATGTTGTTTAAAAAAATTTTTTTTAAGACTTACTATTGAGAATAATATTATTTAGTTATATAAAACTGAGGAATGCACAGAAATATAAATAAAGGAATTAATACATTGATGAAACCGTTACCAAGTTTGGATCTATACACACATTTTATATGCATACATTATCATAACAGCTACTCCAAAAGCTCAGAAGAAGGTGTGGATGCGTTTTTGAAAGTTTTGAAATGGATGGATAATGTATGTATGGCAAGATGACAATTAAACAATTGAAGGTATTGTTAAAAGATAGTGGTACAAACGTAACAGGAAGAAAATCAGAGCTCCTTGACAGGTTAATGATTTTCATAGGTTATATGTGTAACACTCCCTTGAGAATTACTAATAAATCTGTGGAATATATATTTTGATGCAAATATTCACAGGTTGATTCATTAAAAAAAATGATAAATTTGGGTTTGTACCTATGAAGGTTGATGAAGTTTTAAGGACTCCTCCCCCAGATACTTACAAAGACGTACATTCATCACGCCCGATATCCTCTTTTATTGAAAAACATTTGCAAACTTTTTTTGCAAAAGTTTAATAAACAGTCAGAAAAAGCAAATGAAATGTACAAATCCGGCTTTTTACAATTCATAATATATTCTTTCCAAAGTACAACTCTTTATTATATGCTAATGTAAGTGATTATAACTCAGTATGTGACATGAATGTAATTTTTTCAGATGATATTTATTTTGTAAGAGCTAATAGTAAGGCTGAACTGAAGAAACACATGCAATATGTAGTTAATGTTAGCTTTAATATGACAGGAGAGATTGTAGAATGTTTTTGTGACTGTCCAGGTGGACGATCTACAGAAGCTCATTGTAAATATGTTATAATACTGCTTTAAGACATGAAAGATTTACACTTACGGAAAGAAGCTGTTGTTGAAGCAGTATGCACTCAAAAGCTTCAAACCTTTCACCATCCTACCAAAAAGTATAATGCATCCCCAATTAAAGGAGTGTAATTTCTAAGAAAAATCACCGAGTCTGTGTCACATGCACTGTATAGTGATGATTATATTTTGTGGTACAAAAATTATTTTAAAAATATCATAGTTGCCAGAGGAATGAACAATAACATGTCAATGAAACAGATAGTTAAGCCAGCAAATCTGTATGGTGTCGAGTGGGATCATTCTTGTTATACCGAGANTGCTCCGCTTCCCACTCCCACATTTGTTTCTTGCGCAATAATTTAACTAATGGAATCTTTATCTCCGAGTCACGTTCGATAAATCGGCTATACCACCCGACCATCCCTAAAAATCGGCGTAATTGCTTAACATCCCTAGGGGCGGGATATTTCAATACCGGCGCAATCTTCTCGGGATCGGGGTGCAACCCATCCTTATCTAATATGAAACCCAGGTAGGTGAGTTGCGACAAGCAGAACTCGCACTTTTCAAATTTGATCTCTAATCCGGCTCCCGTTACCCGACGCATGACTATTTCCAAATAGCGCAAGTGTTTATCAAAATCGTCCGTCGCTACGATAATATCGTCTAGATACCCGAAAACGTTGGGTTGCAAGTCCGGCCCGAATAAAGCGTCGATGAGCCGCTGAAACGTCATCTGCGCATTAGTCAAGCCGAACGGCATCCGTCGAAAATGCCACAGCCCTGAAGCCACAGCGCTTCTATAATCGCTCGACGATTTTTCTATTATCCCCTCGTTGTACATTCGCTCTACTTCTTCGGTCGCTATTTCCTGCATCCGCGGCGACATACGCCTCAACCGATGTCGAATCGGTGTGCGATCGGTCACGCGAATAACGTGCTCGGTTAGTTTAGTTATTCCTGGCGCTTCGGTGGCCGACGATAATACTTGCTCGATCAGTTTATTCACTTGGCCACGCTGATCGTCACCCACTTCCACGATACCGGCGCATTCCGCGTAAATCACTCTCTCAGGTTCATCGCTCCCCCCGACGAATGAAGCCCATGGTCCTTCGCTCGCTCGCCATAGTCGCTTACCGAAGTTAGCCTCGATCTCAAAGTTCTGACAGAAGTCCATCCCCAAAAGAAGGTCCTGATCGATGTTTGGCACGGCTTTCAAATACAAAACGCCTTCCCTCGTTCCGAGGTCTATTNTTTTTTTCATTGCTTTTTTAAATATTTTGTGGTTGTAAAATATGACTAACAAATATTAGAATTATTATCATTTTTTCATCATTTTAAAAAAAATTTCGTCCAGGTGAACATAATTATTTTAATATATCAATATTTGACCGTAATGCAAAATTTTCCCGGAATCTCTTAATTGTGTTTATTCAAACTCCATTTTCATCCGTCTATAGTAAAGAGCCAACTCAACAAAATTCGTGCACGTCCGCATCTACACACAGTCAACAGGTATCCGAGTCCAAAAAGAGACGGAGAAAGTAATACACACGAACGTTTATTAAACTAATGTATGTACCTTTGTGTAGGTAGGTAGTATAGATACATTTCGCCATGTATTATTGTTATTTCTCGTTCTTATTGTTTGTATATCAATGAACAAAAATAATATAAACACAGTTTGCTTTTTCCTTATCTACAATATTCACTGATAAAAATACATATTCATAAATAAACTGTCTTTTTAATATAAAAATATGAAATAAAGATTACTTAAAGTAAAAAAAATACTTTTCGACAGTTCGTGAGCGGGGAACGAGATAATGAGCCATCTAATGTGGCTCTGCAAAGATCTCGACGTACACACGAACTCGCACGAGTGCGTAGCACGAGTTGTAAGTCGCGTGTGTAAATCGAGGTCTTTAGAGCCACAACAGATGGCTCATAATCGAGGTTCCCACGCACGGCGTATCAAAAGGTATTTTTTTTTTTTTTGTATTTTTTATTTGTATACACCACACGTGTGAGAGGTTAGGTAATGGGCGCACGCATGTCAGTTCGCACATGAGCGCTAGCGAGTATCTTAAAAGTAATAGATCCGTAGTTATCGATAATTGCAAGTGGAAGAAGGTCAAAGAGGTACTGATGCTACAAACGTATTAACAGGGTAGTCAGCGTTAAAAGCATAAAAAATTCACTAAAAGCGCATAGCATGTCACAAATTCATCACATAAAGATTTATCTTCCTATGTGGTAACCGAATGATTTTTCTTTCCATGTAGAACAGACAGTAAAGATGTTTTTGAATACAGAAGTTTATGCAGAGATTCTTATCACCATATGTCCCCCACAAAAGCATAAGTACCTCTCTAAAAAGAATCAAAGCAATTCTAAGTTGTTAAAACAGATAAGTATCAACAACTTTTTACTAACATAAATTTTGAAAAATCATAAAAAATTTAAGTTACAACATTTATTGTTTCAAAAAAATAGTAGACATGATATTTTTTTATCATCATGCGTTGGAAGACAGAACTTTCCGTCTGCTTCGTGGAACAAAAATTCTGGCTTCCAGCGCGGGAGAAAAATCTTTATACTATTACAACCCACGAGAGAAAACAAAGAATCCCTCAGATCGCAAGCAACTGACGCCCAAGGTGAAGACGAGGAGGAGCCAAATGCCGAATTTCTTTCTTTATTTTTTCTCCCTCGATGAGTAATATATTTCTTAACCTACAAAATTTACGGCTGGCTGATAAATAAAGGTAAAATTGTTTGAAAAAAAGAAAAAACATGACTACGTAAGTTAACTATGGTAATTGGATGATTAAAACAAACCGTTTGACTGTAAAGTACAAGTATCTAGGAGTAAAATTTTCATCACTTTAAAAAACTATGCTCTCAATTTTATATTTTTTCCTTAATTGTTTCTTCATATAACTATGCATAACTAACTTTCTACGTAAGTCTGCAGCTCGAGTGTGTTACTTTTTTATTTTTTGTTTCATCATAATCACCAAAAATAAAGGTCAATTTACAATCTGGTATGAATTTTTTTCGTGTTTTTTTTTCAGTTTTTCAAGTAAATGAAATTCATTTCGACCTGATACCTATCTAAGACATGCTGAAATTATTTTTTTTATTTTTAAGTTACAGTAAAATTATGTGTACTGAAAAACTTGGTTCAATAAAATATTGAAAAACAATAAAATGTCAATTAAGACCTGATGTGCAGTTTACCTGGAATAGCATAAACACACGTAAAATATCCAACACCGAAAATGTAGCTGTCAACTCCAAGAGATTCAAAGTCCTCTAAGCAAACGTAGTAGTTTGGAGGTTTTAGTACCTCTAAAATTTCTCCATTAACATCTGGGCTTGTTAGCGTTATGTTCCACAATTCTGCACTTACATTTCTAAGTATAACCTAAAAAATAATACAAGAAATTAGTGTATCCTATACCCAAAGATCAATTTTTTAAATTAATCACTACCTCTTAAACACTCCAAAATCTATAAAAGACTAAGTGTGAAAATAATATTTATAATAAGTTAAATAACACAATTGTCGTACTAAATATTGTATTTTGATTAGTAACGTTATATCAACATAACGAGATTCGATTAGCACTAACATTTCGTATTGGATTAATTTTGTTGTTTTATGTATTTTTAATTATCCCTTTGGTCAATTGAAAACAAAGAAACGAACTACATTGGAGGTATTTTTAACATGCAACGTCAGTAGAAAAAATAGAGTGAACAGTATATAATAATTGAATAACATATATGTATTGTACATGTAGGATATACATACGTACGCATATATAATATATATTATATGTTATGTATGTGTAAAAAAAATATTCAAATTTTTCTGACTCCGAGAATAGAACCTTATCTTATGGATTGGTGGTCGGTGACATAATCGATTGAACTATGCAGCAAACCGATTAAATCTTTATTCTTATTATTTATCGATACCAATCGAGAAAGTTGATCTATAATTGGGAGTTTTTACATTATATATAATTGAGCCCGCTGATTTCAAAAGAAATAGTTATGATTATTTTTGAGTGGTCTAATAATGTCAAAATTGTATAAAATTATGCAAGAGTTCGTTTTGCTTATATCTTTTAACGGTTTGATGTAGAAAAAAAATAAAAATACCAGCGTGTAGAATGAAAAACTTTCTATCAATAAGCACTTTTACTTTTGTTTCGGCTAACGCAAAATGTTGAGAAAAATATGAAAAAAGGCATTTTGGCAGTACCTGTAAAAAAAAGTAAGATAGAGAGAGCCATTGGTATTCTGCTGTTGCGCTCGCTCTCTCTCTCTCTCTCTCTCTATTGTACTTATACGGGACTACACGTAGGTCTTTTTTTCATTGCTTTTTTAAATATTTTGTGGTTGTAAAATATGACTAACAAATATTAGAATTATTATCATTTTTTCATCATTTTAAAAAAAATTTCGTCCAGGTGAACATAATTATTTTAGTATGTGACATGAATGTAATTTTTTCAGATGATATTTATTTTGTAAGAGCTAATAGTAAGGCTGAACTGAAGAAACACATGCAATATGTAGTTAATGTTAGCTTTAATATGACAGGAGAGATTGTAGAATGTTTTTGTGACTGTCCAGGTGGACGATCTACAGAAGCTCATTGTAAATATGTTATAATACTGCTTTAAGACATGAAAGATTTACACTTACGGAAAGAAGCTGTNGTATTTTTAATTATCCCTTTGGTCAATTGAAAACAAAGAAACGAACTACATTGGAGGTATTTTTAACATGCAACGTCAGTAGAAAAAATAGAGTGCACACCTGGTGCGTATACAACCAACATTTACTTACTTATCATTAATTAATTACTTTTAAACTAAATAAATAATTGTTTAAACAATTTTTTCAAATTTTTTCAAAATTTTCAAAAATTACAAAAAAAATTTTTTGTACTCTAATAATACAATAATTAATTTTTATTGTATTTTATTCTTTTACAATTTTTCCATTCGTAAGTAAAGTGATTTTTTGATTTAAGGACGTTCTTCACATAATTACTGGGGGAAAAGTTCAGAGAACTGAGAGGAACGCTAATGTGTGCAATAAAGCTAGCAATAGTTTTTCTCATGTAGATCTACTCAGATACAGGCTTTTACGCACACTTTATCCTCTGTTTCTAAATTTATTTGAAAACTAAGTTGCCGGTCTATTTGAAAGTTCGATAGATTTATCTCAAAGTAATCTTTTGTACCCAAAAAATTAGGAGATTCCTACAAATCATATAAATGCCATTTAACGTTACTTTTCATAAGGTTACATGTTAAATATCTATGTTTTTCAATGTACTATATATAAAATAATGGTACAGTCAAACGAGCTGCAATGTTTACAGGTATTTCTTATGCTACTACAGTATACGTTTGCCGTTTTAATAATATCTGTCAAAAAAACCTGTGTGATGAACGTCCTGAAGGGATATTCACTGGCATGTAATACTACCTCATTGAAGAAAATTTTACTACATGATGGTTTTTCTTAACTTTCTGTATACCATTATATTTTGGGTATTAAATATAGACGAGGAATAAGTGTCGGAACGTATGTGATAGATATAAGCGTAACGTTACAAATGTAATCAGCGTAGGCAGTAAGAAGTTATTCTGAAATTATCGGAAGATTCGATGAAAGCGCAGAGTCTTGGACTGGCCAGCCTCTATATTATTTTTATTGTATTGTACCGTAATATATTGTTTATAATTATTAACTCATTAAATATTAATTAAAATCACACTCAATCAACGTAGGTATACTCATCCCCACGATAATTGCACCACCTTCGTACACAATATTGTTTCATAGAAGGTATTTTTATACTCAAAATTATATTGTTTGCCATATAATTATATAGAAGTGTAACTTCATACTTGAGTACCCAAGCACCCACTGTCCACTGGTGAACATAATTATTTTAATATATCAATATTTGACCGTAATGCAAAATTTTCCCGGAATCTCTTAATTGTGTTTATTCAAACTCCATTTTCATCCGTCTATAGTAAAGAGCCAACTCAACAAAATTCGTGCACGTCCGCATCTACACACAGTCAACNATTAAATATTAATTAAAATCACACTCAATCAACGTAGGTATACTCATCCCCACGATAATTGCACCACCTTCGTACACGATATTGTTTGATAGAAGGTATTTTTATACTTAAAATTATATTGTTTGCCATATAATTATATAGAAGTGTAACTTCATACTTGAGTACCCAAGCACCCACTGTCCACTGGTTTTTTTTTTTTTTTTTGCTTATTTCCGTAGTCAATTAACTTAAATATGCGTAACTTTAAAAAAGCATCCATGGACCATTAATTCTACTCCAGAGATCTCTTTACTGGCATACGATAATCTCGTGCCGCTGCAGCTCATAAAAAAAGTATACGTTCTTTATTGATTGATTAAACAGAGCTGGATTTGTCAAATGATCCAAAAATGAATGATAAGCAGTTTAACTCTTTGTTAATACGTAGGTACTAAAATTATCATATTTTTTTGAAAACCTTAAACCCCTCTCAGTCACATTAAAAAATAGTTTACTTTTTGCAAATGTTGATGCTTTGCAAAAAGTTTACAAGATTTCGGTCTGAAAGGTCAACTATAGTTTCGGACCATAATACTACCAACATATATAAATTCCAGCATTCTAGCATTATCAGAATGCGAGTTCCTAAATCAACATTTTCGTCAGACTTCCAAAATTAGCACCTCGCGTGCATCTGCTCCTTCGTTTACGTACGAATAACAAGGTTACGTTGTCTTAACTCGTGAGTATTGATTTCCTCTGCACCCCCAAACCCCAAGCTTCGTCATTTCTACCTAACATTAATTATATCATGTTGTAATTTGGTTAAATACTGTAAGAAGTGTGAATAAATACTCGTGCTTCAATGCAAATGAATTTAGTTTCTGGAATTTTTCACCTATTCTGATTTACAGCAGTCTTATGATAATTAATTCTTTATCGCTTATATCGTATATTGGTAACGCTGACAAAGAATGCATCATAACAAGAAATGCTTCGTGACGCATATGAATTCGTCATTTTATACGAGAAAAACAAGAAGCTTCTTCGACATATCCAAGATCTTTGCTAGATTGCAGAATAACAACAACAACAACAACAACAAATAAAAACAACAATTAAAACAACAACAACAATAACCACAGCAGATTAAGGGCCCCACTGTTCAGATTGCTGATCATCATCCTCCAGATCAACGAGTTGCAGTAAAATTGCAATTTCCACCTATTTGGTCTGACAAAGCAAGCTTATGGTTCGTGCAAGCTAATTTTCTGTTTATACTTTTTGAAATCCCAAACGAGGTTAAAAAATTCCAATACTTTACCTCTTAGTTATACGCTCGTGTTGCATTGAAAATCGAGGATTTCATAACCAATTCCCCACAAATTAATTTGTACAGATTCTATACATGGATTTAATCGAATATTTATCAGCGTAATGGACAACGTGTTCGTCGCAGTTAATCAACGAGGAAGAGCTTAGTGATTACAAACTATCAGAGTTTCTCCATTACCCTCGTTCTGTTGCTAATGTAACTGTTATACAGAACTTATCTATTGCGATAACTTTAACTTCAATGGCTACCGTCCAACGTACACGTTATCCTGGCAACGGATTCTGAATTAATGGTTGATAACCTAGCGGAGCTTGCTAACATAATTTTATACATCATCAAGCATATTGAGTTTTGCTTTCAATGCAGTACTGAACAGCAAAGGTACCGAAAACAACTTATTCAATACGATTGCTGAATAACGAAAGTAAGTTGTCAAGTTGTTGACTTCTTACTTATGTCCTCACGATTTTAACTGCAATTTTAGATCGAGAAGTAGATATTTCACAAGCAAAAATTTCCAGCGAACTGCCGACTATATTTGCTGGTATCATGCAAAGTTTTAGTATAATAATACAAAGTGTATTCCACCATACAATTTTTTGGGAGACGACAAAAGCAGTTTTTAAGGATGGCATCTTGATGTATTTTATAGAAATTCAAATCAGATTTCTTATTGATACTGGCTCTGATGTATGTTGTTTTCCTAGTCGTTAATTACAACAGCATCGTTTTTTTGTCAACTACGATTTGTGTACCGCAAATGTAAGTAGAATCAAAACGTAAGGTTTTGTAAAATAAAATCTCAACTAAGACTATGATAACGTAAGGGTTATAAAAATTCCAAAGCTTTGTCGCTCAATATTTTCAAAAATGTATAAGCACTCGTAAAATCCAACACTAAAAATTAATAAATTTGACACGTAATTATTAAATGATCCTGAAATTTCAGATCTGGTTTGTTTCCAAGTAAATACTTTAAAAAATGAGTGGATAAAATTTCAAAACACAATTTTAAAAACTGCCGAAGTAACAGCAAGTCGAACGTCAAAAAGCACGAAAAAATTTTTTTTTCGAATTTACACTTAAAATGAATTTTAGACTTGGACACCCCATTTTTAATTTATATAAGTATACATACAGAAAAATACGAAGATACATTTTAGAAAAATAAAGGAATTAAGATTTTTTTGATCTGCAGAAAAAAATTTAAAACATGGTGAAAGTGGGAACAACTTTTACAAATCAAAGATGTCTATTTAAAATGGCAAGTAGTTGTTTAAAAACTTGCTAAGTTTAAACACAGTAGTGAAGCAAAAAATAGTAAAATGCATAATGCCCTAGAGCATGCCGATGATAACCTGAAAAGTAAGACCTATAGGTCAGTAAAAAGAGAGAGAATCATGCAAGATCCTTAATGCAATGTTGCTTTTAGATGACTCTGTTATCCATCCTACTGAGTACTATTTGTAAAACGCAAAAATCTCTCCATAGTACATTACGATACTAAGGTAAATGTACCCAAACGTTGGCCATCTTAGTAGACCAATTTCTAAAGTACTCCATAAATATAAAAATAAAGTAAAATTTAAAGTCCTAATAGGTATTATTTTATAGTTATAAAACTATTTTTAACTGTACCAGAAAGAAATGATTTTTTGCATCCACAGAAAAAAAGCTTTTATTTCTTATTGGACAAGATGAAATGTTTTAATTCTTGGCCACTGTAGAAAAAACCTGTCCCTGAGTCCGAAACTTCAAGTCCCAATAACTGGCCAGTCGTATGAATTGTACGCAATTAACATTAGCCAGTTATTAGGACACACTAAAAGTGAGGGTACGTTGACAAATGTCCCAAAGCCTGGCCAGCCGACCTTTGGGACCAATTTTTTGGTGGCCAAGCATTGGTACATTTACCTTAGTGCGCGAGGAAGGCGATTGACGCACTCGTATCAGTTCGCACACGAGCGCCAACGAGTGTGCGAAGACACGCGTGTATCAATCACGTAACCTCTTACACGTGTGGTGTATACAACTTTTCGACACATCGTGCGCGGAGAACGAGATTATGAGCCATGTAATGTGGCTCTGCAAAGAACTCGACGTACATACGCACTCGCACGAGTGCGCAGCATGAGTTGTAAGTCGCGTGTGTAAATCGAGGTCTTTAGAGTCAAAACAGATGGCTCATAATCGAGGTTTCCGCGCACGGCGAGTCGAAAATATTTATACAAATGTTGTGAATTTTTGTGTCAAATTTTCAGTGTAGGTGGAAGGAAAAAATAATACGTACCATGGCCAAAAAATGGGGCTACTATTGATCGTTCATCATCTGATAATATGGTACAGTCAGGAATAGCCCTATTTTTTGGTAATATACTATTCTCATCATGCATTTAAAGTCGCACGATCCAAGCAGCTATGATTTAAAATTTATTGAGCTAAGGTGACGAAACAATAATGAATAAATAATTAGTTACTCGACTTAAGTAATTTGTAAATAAAGATTGAATTATGTTTTTGTTATGGTACCACAAATTACTATTTTGATTTTGTGTGTTATAAAAGATAAATATTACTAGGAAAAAATTACAGAATGTTAACTTACTAATTTAAGAACTGGAATGAATATACTAAGAGACACCGCCCATAGAACTCCAATGATAATTATTGTAACCTTACGATTAAACCTCTGTCTAAAACCTATAGGACTTCTTATGGCTAGATATCTATCAATACTCATTGTTGTAAAGGTAAATACTGATGCTGCAACTGCTACTCCTGAAACAAAAATTACATACATACATAAAGCTGAATCATCTTTACCTTTAATTACACCAAACCTTCAGCACGTAGTCTACGTACATAATTAAAAACATGTATTTTCCATAAATCACCAAAAAATTAAAAAGTAGTGCTTAACTTTGATCAAATAGTTTCTTACATATTTAAAAGTCAATTTTTACGTGTGGTATCTCCATATTTGTGTATACGTGTACATGCTAAGAATTTTACATGATAGTAACAAAATTATATTAATCCAAATTCGACACAAGGCTGTTTAATCTCTTCTTTGTACTTAATGTATAGGATTTTACAACAACCCTCAATAAAAAGAGAAGTTTAAAATCATAAAATTCTAAAATAATAATTATAACTTAAACTGAAATAATTATTACTTCAACTTCAGTAAAGATAATAACACCTTAGAATTATCATAAGGAAAAAAGCATCAATAATGCAGTATAAAACCTATAAACTTAATATTTATTAACTAAATTAATTTCTTTTTAATTTTTTGTTTAGTAAATTATGTAATTTAGGCATTAGGCAACTAGGGTCAGTTGAAGATGTAATTATTACTCAATTTTACTAATATATAAAGCAAAGTCACTAAAACCGTTGTAATCGCTAACCACGAAAACTACTGAATCTTTTTTGCTAAAATTTTGCATACCGACTCTTAAAACTTCCTAGATGGTTTTAGTACAGTTTTTATTTTAAAAAATTTAATAACAAGGCCAATAATTAAGCTCAAAGTTTTGCAAAAATATGCCAGCTTTTCACTTTAGTTAAGTAGGATCCACTAGGTGGCATCGACATAAAATCGGAGCTACTTGCAACAAAATTGAATAAGTGAGGTTATAATAGGTCGGAGCGTCTCGATAAGTTCTGCAGTCGTTAACCGGCAGTTCACCGAGCTGCATCGAGAATGAGGCTAATAGTCATGCAGCTAGGTATCCCGGTTACCGACGACACTGTTTTCCAGTGGGCAAGTGACCTAGGTCTACTTCCACCCAGAATCTCCAGGATTAACGAGTGGCACCTATAAAGAATTATTCTAACCGATAACATCCCCGGCGAAATACCAGGAGACTTGTCTAGACAGAGCACAACCTGCTCCAAACTTCTGAGTTATGTGGCCATTCCACCATTCAAGCTGGAGTCGTTAGAGAATTTTTTATCTCAAATGTAAGCCAGGGAAGACAGCCCTGAGAAGAATGGGCAGCCACAACGGCTTCCTTCTCAGTGGTCGTCCCCACGGCATATCCATAGAGAAGGTATTCTCTAGGCCTACTTTTCCGACTAACGATGAGCAGTTGGTTACCCGGGGAACGATCTGAAGAAGAGATATTCTTTGGTCAGCGGCATACCTCCTTCAATCACGGTCTCACTCACAGAGATTTCGAGGGTAAGAGTCAAGCTACCCGCATCCAGCTCTTCATCATCAGTAATAATAATAAGAAATAGCTAGAAGTTTCACCACTGGCCCTTTTCAGGGCCATTATTAGTATTTATGTTTCCTACGTAACCATCAATCCCATCGGTTCTTTTAAGAGCCATCTAAGTTTAAACTACCTTGCCAACAAATCTAAGTTAAAACTATCTTGCCAACAAATACATTTCTACTACCATTTCTGGAAGCGATAAAAGATTATATTAACTAAAGACGGACATAGTAAGCCAAGTCAGTCATTCACTGGCGTCATCACGAGCGGAGTTGCTCTTCGCAAGGCTGGGAATCTCCGGTGACCGACGACCCTATATTACCCTCTACACTCTAAATATTCAACCAGGAAACATCGATCCTCTCGAAAGTCTGCATTGGGTGAACCTAACAGCTACGAAGGAAAAAAAACTTGAGCCAACAAGCAGGTATCACGAACCAATCTCGCTATCTTAGATCACCAAAACAACTGAGTCTGAAAAGATCTCTACAACTAGCTCCAAAGCTTCGGACTTCGTAATTTTTCTCCCGATCAGTTTGTGGCTTCAACAGCAGGCCAGAAAAGATTCCCCTCAGATATCCAGACAGTCAAAATTGCTGTTAACTTATGTTCAAAAGTCTTCGACTGTCTCCATGTACAGTCTAATGCCGTTCGTAGTGTTAATGGCTCTGCGTAGGCTAGTGTTGTTATCTGCAAGGGCTTTGTGGATTTTAGAGAAGCGTTTTTTGTCGCAAACTACAATTGGAGGAAGGCTTGGGCCGGGTTTGGAATTCTCTTCATCCTCGGAGGAGTCAGAGTCAGAGGAATCAGAGGGTATGTCGGCGATGTTATCGGGTTCTTTTGTAGAGGTCCGGGTTTTCTTTTGTTTTCGCTTGACGGGAGACTTTGTGGGAGACTGGGGTGTCGTTTTGTTGGCAGTGGGCTGTTCCACGCACTTGATTTGAGGTACGCCAGTGGTTTTTGTGGTAAGGGACTTATTCGCTTGGGCGAGGGCAGATTCGGTCTGAGACAGCCGTGTTTCTCATTCAAGGATCTTACCTTGAAGTGTCTTGATGTAGCTGACCAGTGCTGTAGGAGACAGGTTGCTGGCGTCATGCTAACTTGTATCCATGGTGGAGTTGAAGGTGTCTAGGTCAGGATGCATCCTAGGTAGGTGTTGGGAGCTGTTTTCCAGTTCTGGGTTGTAGATTTGGAAGAAGGTCAGTGAAGAGGTAGCCACGTTTGACCGCGACCGAAGGTCGCGGCTAGAGAAGGGGGTGACTGCTTACAGACGCGATCGCGAGGGGCACTACAGTCTTACGGGAGAAAAAAATATCAGTGCGACGTTGCTTAAAAGAGTCCTGAGAAGGGTTGAACTCAGGAGAGTGTCATGACAGTGGAAGCAAGTGCGTATCGGACGTGCACATAAAATACGTGCGTTCGGTACGATGTGCGCGATGCGACTGACAATAATCGCCTACTCGATGGGGCATCTTATAACCACTCTTCACCATGTTTGATTGCGGGTGGCTCCAATTTTACCTCAACGTCACCTAGCGGATCCTACTGAACTAAAGTGCAGAGCTAGATTATTTGAGCAAATCTTTGAGCTTATTTATTGCTATTTTTATTTAATTTGTCAAGATGAAAACTATACTAAAACCATCTAGGAAGTGTCAAGAATCGGTATGCAAAGTTTCCGCAAAATCAGCTAAGTAGTTTTCGCGGTTAGCGATTACAACGGTTTTAGTGACTTTAATTTATATATTAGTAAGATAAAATAACTGTTTGTTCTTTAGAAATTTGGTCAAGTTGGAGATTAATTAAGATTGGGGTTTGATGTAATATATCAATGAATAGATTTCACGATATATTCATTACCATCGTGAATATTATTGAACTACATTGGGTTGATAATAGTAATTTGTAGAAAAGCATTAATTAACCTATTTGCTACATAAAGCATTAAGGCTAAATTTAATACTTGAGATCGCTTTCTTGTTTAAGTTTAATGACATTCCAACACGTAAATATCTGTATGAGTAAAAAAAAATACAATAGTTCAAATTAGTGTAGTTGATGCGTGTCAATTCATATTATTTATAACACCACGCTGACTCGTAGATCAGCTAAAAGAGGGGATATGGGATGAGCACACAAACGCAGTCTAAATCTTTTTTTAGTTTTCTAATGAATTATACGAATTTGATTAACTATCAAAAACTTATTTACATTGGTGAGAAATTTTTGTTTGATCTCTACGCAGCAACTCAAGGTACTATGAATAAATTGTTTGATTTTTAATACGTTTTATCCTTTTGCGTATAAGGTATTTTTTTTTAAGTTAAGCTACATTAACTGTCATGTGTACCATCCCATTTGAAAAAAATATTTTTATCATAATATCAGAATCATCTCCTGCAAACTTGTCACATATCTATAACTTAATTATTTTCCACCGTCATAACCTGTACCTAGCTCATCCATTTTTGTTAAGAGCTAAGACGATAAACAACTGACAGAAATTACAACTTCATTAAATTGTATGATAGTTAAGACTTGAGGTTTTTGGAATTTTCTGTATCGTAGATGGTTATAAGAAAAATAAATACCTTTGTACGTCTTCAGTTTTACTTTAAAGACAATTCATATTAAATTTCTTACTTTTACATAACTCTTGCTGTTGTTGATTTGTATATCTAAATAAAGTGTGTACTGTTGATAAATTTTTTCATAAAACATCAAAATTTTTTAGCAAAAATATCAAAGTGCTACTTTGGTCATAACACAAAAATCATCTTGAGCCATCCGTGAACTTTTTTTATCATCACAATTAGTAACCAGCTTATCTATTTTAATCAAGTAATAAAAAGATAAACTACTGACAATAATTACATCATGAAGTGCTTTGAAAGTTAGATCTAAAGATTTTGGGAAGACGCAGGAGCGTCTCGACGAGGAAAAGAGAAAGGCGGAGGCCGAGGAGATCCAAAGCCTCGTGGAGAAGAGGAAGGTGGACACCAAGGCTCGGCAGCTTCGTCAGGAGGCCAAACGCCTCATGATTAGGGCCCGTGTGGTCGAGGTTCAGGCGGCGGGAAAATCCGGCCGACCCGTCCGTTGTTATATGTGCGGTTGTCCGGGAGTGAAGCGCTCCTAAGGGTGTCCGAGACGTGCCGAACACTATCGGTTCGAGCCATGAACGGAGGCTGGGTCTCCAAATGATCCAGCCCGAGATCAGCCCATTCACGGTACTCCAGAGGCCAAGGACCACTCCGACGATTACTGAATTTTTTTTTTCTTTTTTGTTTTATTTTTTTTTTCTTTTCTTTTTATTTTCATTTTTCACTCCTTTTTTGTTCTTCTTTCTCCACTCACGGCAATAAATAGTGCCCTTTTTTTTATGTATAGCCAACGTTGTATTTTTCTTTTACCCGCCTTTTTCCTTTTCCCTCTATTAATTTAAGCCTCAGCCTTCCTAAATGGCGCCTAGGAGGTAAAGTTGGATACTCTGGTATTCAACGTCTAGTCGGGAGGTGTAACGGTGCCCCACCGTTAGGCCACATTAGTAGGCTA